CAGTTCAGCTCACGTGTTGTTTTTATTTCTGCTAGAATAAAGGATTGAACAAGTCCTTAGGTGAATTGTTAGTAGTGGCGAAATGTAAGCCAAACGTGGCAGTAGTGTTGCTTAATTTTAGTTTTTCTATTTATTTTCCTTCTATAAATCAGTGTAATTGATTGCTGTAAAAATGAGCAATTATCCTTATTATTATCCAATTTTCATGCAATAAATATCCCCTGTTTAAATTCAAATTTCTAGTGTTGATTTACAGTAACAAACAGTCACTGTAGAGATCAAAATCTTTTATTTTTCTGTTTCTCAGTTCTTCACTTATTAGCAATGGGGGATTATTTTTGGTCATTCAATGGATAAAAATGGGAAATTCTTTACAAATCAGTATAATTGATTGTTGTAAAAATAAACAATTGTCCTTATCATTATCCAATTTTCATGTAATAAATATCCCCTGTTTGAATTCAAATTTCTAGTGTTGATCTACAGTAACAGTCACTGTAGAGATCAAACTGTAGAGATCAAAATCTTTTATTTTTTTGCTTCTCAGTTCTTCACTTATTCTGCAAAAGTATTTTCAGATCAGACTAGAAGGAGTTACACAAAAACGCCTAGCAATGGGGGGCTTATTTTTTGTCATTCAATGGATAAAAATGGGAAATTCCCAGTCTACAAAAGAAAAGGGAATGGAATTGTCAGAACAAAATTTTGACAATTATACAATATTATGAAAAGAAAAAAAAAACAGTCTAACTTGGACATTTGGCAATAATTAATAGTTACTTAATTTCTCTTCCCACCATTTTTGTCACCAATAAACAACCAACATAAAATCCATAACCCTGAGGCTAACAAAAAAACACAATTTTTTTCATTTCCAGCACTCAAATTCAAATTATACTAGAGTTTCTCAGTTGCGTGCTTTAATTTTCCTACACTTTCTCAGCAACCAAACAGCAACTACGACTACAAAACCACAAAGATCGACAAAAACAGGGATCTTTTCATTCCACTTTCTCAATTGATTCACTTAATTGTCCCACGCTTTCACGGGAAATATAATTATAAAAACCTAACACTGATAAATAAGTTGCTTTTTGGTTTAATTTTCGTTTACGGAATGGAAAAATGGGAAACAATTATTAAAAGGAGAGAAATTAGCAAAACAAAACAAAACACACGCACACACACACACAGAGAGAGAGAGAGAAGGCTTGCTTTAGCGGGAGAAGGTGTGGAATCGGTGAGCTGAGTGGATTGAGAAGGCATGAATCCGCCGCCGGAGAAGGAGGAGGTGGCATCGAATTGGCTGCTTGAAAACATTTTTTCGTTCTTTTGAAACCCTAGAAATGTGAATGTTTTGGAAGACTGAGTCAATTGTTAGCGAATGGAAGACAGGGAGAGGAGGGTCACTTTTAATTTATTAGATAACGGATTCCCGCCATCGTGGATTTTAGTTTTCCTTTTCCCGCGCGGGCGAAACGACACCAGCTGGTTTCGTTTGGGGGGTGGGAGTTCATAGTTATCGGTCCGGGAATTAATCGAAGAAAGTGAATGGCTAATTAGGTTATTATGTCAAATCATGGTTTGTCGAATTAATTATTTTTATTAAAACAGTTTTATTTTATTTTTTTAAAGTTCAAATTTACAACAAGAATTTAAGATTAATTATATCAGTAACTCTCCAAACAGTTTTTTCATCTTCATAATTTCAAGCTCGGCTTACTGCTTCAATGTTTCTGGAACTGCACCCGGTGAATACATAACTAATATCTGTGGCGGCATCCAATATCCTTTGACCTGTTTCCTGCAACCAAGATTCAATTCTAAAAGTTCAGTAAAAATAGACACCGCTAGAAAGGTCACTGACAACTTGACAGAAGCATGTGAAAACAGAAAATCACTTGCCTATTGTAACCAAACATATTTTTATATTATGAAATCAAACTCAATTCAAAGAGAGAAAATACTTGGGTAAT